CTGACCAGCATTGTGTGTCAGTTCTGTTAGACATGATCAAATGTTATGAGATGATCATCCTGTCGGCTGTGATGGCCGAGGCTGCTGCTGTAGGGTACCCGTTACGTCTTGCGTGGATGTTGGTTTGCGTGTATCAGCAGCCTCGTCGCATTAAAGGCTTCGGCTCGGTCAGTCAAGCTTTTGTTTCCTTCCAGGGGATTCTGGCCGGCTGCTGCCATGCGACGACCCTTATGCAGGTGATTCTCCTACGGCCGCTCCAGCGAATTCGTCATGAGTTTCAATTTGTGATCCCTCGGGGGTTGATGGACGATGTTTCTTTCCAGTGGATTGGTCGGCAGGCCAAGCATGCTGGAATTGTCTTCAATGCGGTATCGGCGTTTGTACGGGACACGCGTGCCCTGGGCTTCCGACTGCAGGCTGCTTAGTCTGTTTTTTTGGTTTCGTCTCGCGAGGCTGCGCGTGCGGTCAAGGCGCAAGCGGGGATGCTCAAGCTTTCCGCTTTTCGGTCTGCTCGTAACCTCGGGCACGATTCTTTTGCGGGTGGCACCGCCCACAGAGCCCAGGAGCGAAAAAGTCCCGGCAGGGTCCTGGGACGCCGTGGCAGGCTTCGTGCCCTGAAGCGGGCTGGGGGGTTGAAGGTCCGGGCTCTGTGGCGTACAGGTGTCATGCCGTCTGGAAGCCATGGAGCTGGGGTCATAGGCCTCACCGACTCTACGCTCATGAAGCTTCGTTCATTTGCCGGTGAGCTTGTAGGGGCTCGTCAGGGTCTTGCGTCCCTTATGGTCTACACGTGCACACAGAAGGATCGGATGTACGATCCCACTTTTGATGCCACCTGCCCGCTGCTAGCCCGTTATGCGGCGTGGCTGTGGGACGGCAGGACCTCCGCTTCGCAGCTCCGCGCGGCGTGGCAGGCCATTCGTGACAAGATCGGCCAGCAGGGATCCTGGCGGATGTGCTTTGGACCGATCTCTGCGGTGATCCTCACCCTACGCAGGATCGGTTGGGACATGGCGGCGCCCCACGTTCTGATCTCGGATCGTGGCGAAGCTGTGTCCATGTACGAGTTTTCACCGTCCGAGGTCCGAGCTCTGGTCCGAGACGGCGTCGAGCGCTGGCTCTGGAGAAGGGTCCCGTTTCACTGGCCTGAGGCTGCCGGAACCGAGGAGATTTGGATTCGAGCGATGCGCCTCGCGGCGTTGTCCCTCCCAACTAGTGCTCGCCAAGGGTCTGCTCGGGCCCTCCTGTCCGGGGGCCTTTGGCCCCCCGAGCGTAAATTCCAGGCCGGCCTCTGTGCGTCAGGTAAATGTGTTTTCTGTGGCGCACCGCGTGGTACACTCGGCCACCAGCTGTACGATTGTCCTTCTGCGTTCGCCGCCGAGGAGGAGGAGGAGGAGGTGGAGGTTCAGTTTCCTTTTCCGGACGACGTGTGGCAGCAGCGGCAGGCTCTTCGGGAGCAAGGAATCTCTCCTCTGGGTGGGGCGGATTGGGATGTCGTTCCTCTCTTGTACGGCCTCCCTCAAATCCCGTTTAGGCTGCCGCCGCCGCTGTCCCACCTTCCCGTCCTGCTCTGGGGTCTCACGGAAGGCACCTGGGGCCCGCTCCTTTTCACCGACTGCAGTGGATTGGCCGGCGCGTGTCCCGAGGCGGCGAGGTGCGGCTGGAGTGTGGTTGAGATTACGGAGGATGGCTGGCCCCTCCGAGCGAAGTTCGGCGGACTGCCAGGACTGTTTCAAACAGTGCCTCGGGGCGAGCGGTGGGCTGGCCTTGAGGCGATGCGCGTGGGCCCTTCTGATCTCACGATCGTCAGCGATCACCTTAGTTTTGTCCGCGAGTGCCAGGGCTGGGACTCTAAGCTTGAGTGCGGCCTCGCGCGCCACGCTTCGATATGGCGGAAGATTTTTAGATTGTCTGAGCGGTCGGGTTCGCGGCCGTCGATGATCTGGACTCCCGCGCATCGGTCTTTGGAGCAGCTGGTCGACGAGGGAGCGTCGGCTGAGGAGATCCACCGTTTCATGGGAAATGCTTGGGCCGATTTCTTCGCCAAACTCGGGGCTAAGGACGTCGCTGTTGCACAACTCGCGGTCGATGCCCTCCAGCGTTCGGTCAAAGAGTGCAAGTGTACATATGAGTTCTTGTCGAGGGCGGTGCAGTTGATTCGCGCTCGTCCTGAGGCTCAGGACTCTGGCCCTCCTTTGCCCAAGGAAGTGGCGGAGAGGCGCGATAAGCTCGTCATTATCGCCCATGACCCTGTCCCCCTGGCACCTGGCTCGTCCGCGCTGCAGTGCAGGCGTTGTCTTGCCGTGGCTCGGACACCTGCCAGTGTTAAGACGCTTTTGAAGCCAGGGGCCAAATGTGAGCCGCCGCCCATGCTCCAGGCCCTCGCCCTGGCTGTTGAGCAGCTCGGGTGGCGTAGCCAAGGGGTGGGGAGGCTGCTGGGGCTGCTGCTGCTGCTGCTGCTGCTGCTGCTGCTGCTGCTGCTGCGGCCGACGGGGCGGTG